ACAAAGCACAAAACGAGCAGAAACAATAATAAAACTACACAGAAAAAAAAACCCGTACAAAACACTATAAGAAATATACCAGAAAAAAAAATTATAAAAAGAAAAATAGCCCACAGAAAAAAACGGAAAAGCAAAATTGCCAAACTAAAACTTTGCTGCAGACACGCAAAAAAAAAAATAAATAAATAAAAATAAAACTCCGTAGTCGGGTAAATATAGCTATACACATATTCTGACCCACACACACACAGTGACACACTAATAGGTGACTATGAGTTTGTGTGGCTGGGTGTGTGAGAGAGCTGAAAACAATTTACGAAAATTTGTACAATTTCTAAACTTAAATAAACACCGAGAATGGTTTTATTTTTATTAAAACTGCCACCATTTCACTTTACACACACACATATAGTAGCAATTGCTATAAGGAGGGCTGAGCTCAACAAAATGACGTCTTAAATATTTTGTGAAATAGTTTTGGGTAAACTGTTAACTTAATGAGCTGTTGACGTTTTGGCCATTTCAATTAGGGCCAGTCTACAAGGTACTTACACACATACATTAAAAACGGACACGCTACAATTTTGGCTAAGACTCAAGTTCAACAAAACTGTCGCGACGGCAGGCAATGACACGAAATAATTTAAATGCCACTGGAATGCCATTGTACTTTTAAGTAGTAAATTTACAGAGGCACAATCACACTCACACCAATACGCACAGCATGCAACACGAGCTGATGGGCGATGGCAACGGATAGGTGGATGGCACTGGCTTAAATTGAAAAACTTTTGCAACTTGCAAGTTTCTTGAATAATTCTTTTTACTCTTCTTGTGCGTTGCCAACAACTTGGCGGGGATTCATTGCAGCCCGCCAGGCAGCCAAGCAAAGAGGTCACGCACACAGACACACACACGCAAAAAATGCATATGCGTGTAAGAAAACCATTTAAAGGAGTTTAAGCCGTGAACACTTCGTATACTTAGCGCGGCTGGAAGACAGCAAACTGAAAACGGCTAATGAAATTAGCCAACTGCATGCTGCTAAGACTTGATAGTTAAAAGGACAATTAATTTGCTTTAATAATAAATAACATGGTGACTGTAAGAAAAACGACAGTTTATTTGTATCTAAAAACACACAAAATAGTGTTTGCAAGTTAGTTAGTTGCAAATAATCCTGATAATCCAAATCAGAAGAGAAAATAAATGATTTCACTTACATAACTAAGAAATCTTTACATAATGGTACAAAATATTACTAAAAATGAGAAGGAATGATTTTCACTTTAATTTAATCTTTAATATTCTGCCAGCGAATAATATGTATGAATATATTAATAATGAATTCACAAAAATTGACTATATGTTATTATACGAAACTATATTAAAATATATATTATACACATTTAATATCATTCTTTGGTGAATTCCAACTGCATGACAATTGTTGGGCCACCCAATACAATTGCTCAATTATTCAGTTGGGCGGAATGGCCACAAGATTGTAAATAAAAATGGCGTAATTTAAAGTTATTCAAGTGCAACGCAGTAGAAACGGAAATGGGCGCAAAACTATTACGTGCGTGTGAGCAAGCGAGATGGAAGTTCACACTCGCCACCGGAAATAAAGTGGCACTTACACATGCGAGCGCATATGTAGATACAAGCACATTACAACTACAACAACCAAATACAACAAAAATATCTGTAACTGGAACAACAACCACAATAACTGGGCAGCACTTTAAGGGAGAAATTTATATAATGCGCATTTTTATGCTGGCACTCAAGTGCAATCAAAATGCGTTACGCGCAATTTCCATTTAAAGCTGCAGAGCTGTGGCTGAGAGGGGGGCGGTTGTGGCATCCACAATACAGGCCACAAAATGGACATTGTTATGGCCGTGCAAATTTATGGCTATTGGCAATTGTTTCGTTGTATTGCTTTGCGCTGCTTTTGCGGCAATTGAAATGCATTAAACTTGTGGCTAATGACAACATTTCATGATGCATGTGTGCGTGTGTGTGTGTGTGTGTGCGTATTGCTCAATAGTTATCTACAAATTATAATTTAACCGACAAATGTAATTGGTCGAATTAGTAGCGCTAATTAAAAAACCAACGTCTGCGGGTCTCAAATTGCGAAAAGCAAAAAGTTGTGAAACTCGATTTAACAGTGTACAACAATTCGCAATGCTGAAATCTGCGGGTTGTGGCCACGCCCTAAGAGGCCAACCACCCACAAAACACAATATGCCCTTAACAATTTGCTGCAGCAACAACAGCACGAAGCCAACAACAACAAGTGGAACATTCGCTTAATCAACGACATTTGTTTCGTAAGCTGGCGAAATAATAAATATAAATAAGGCAAAAGCGATTTGTTTGGCTTTAGCTAACGACTCCCCAATGCAATTGGGCATCCATCATACGCACTGCGGTCCAGCTTGCCATCGCTGTGTAACGGTTTCTTATGTGTGCGCGCCTAACTTATATCTGCAAATCCCCAAATAAACATTTAAATAATTTACTACGACCTCTCTCTCAATTACTGTCAACAATAATACGGCACAGCAGTTGCATATGAAATATTTATGACTGTCTTAGTGTGTGTCTGTGCAGTTGAGGGTGTATATGTGTGTGTGTGTGTGTGTGTGTGTGTGTGTATATACCATGTGGCATGCCGTTACATTTCCGACAGCGCCAACGACATCGGGCCCAAGCTCAGTGCATTATGCAACAACAAAAACCTTCGCATGCCATGACAAACAAAAGCTACAAAATGAAGTATGAGGTCAGCATATAACAGTAGCAGAAGCGGCAGCAGCAGCAGCAACAGCAACAATAACAATCGCAATAACAACAAGCAGCACTAAACGAAAGCCAACAACAACAAGTATACAAAAGAAAAGCACATGATTGTCGCTTGAAACTTGAGCCACAGCAACTAACCTCATGACATCAGCTTTTTGGTTTTCAACTTATTACAATTTCCATATAACCTCCAACGCGCCCCGAGGCGCCTGCAGCAGGACATGCCCGAGAAAAAGGGGACCTCACCACCTCCACTGTAAAATGCAAACAAATGTGCATATGCGAGTGCGAGTGCAATGAAAAGAAAGCACAAGCACAGCACAAGAAACAGAGAAGCAGAGAGCCAGAGAGGAAAACAGAGAGAGAGAGAGAGGCACAAAGACAGAGACAGAGCGTGACCGAGGCGGCAAGCCAGCAAGTGGGTGGCAAATGGCATGTCCTTCATAGAGCTATTCCTTTCTCTAACAATTTGCCCCTGTTGCCCTGCCCCAGTGCTGTTGTTGGGCCGGGTAAAAGGCAGCGGCAGCAGCAGCAGCACTGGCAGCAACTGCTGTGGGGGTCTTTAAGTTTTATGGCACCATTGTGTCAAGATAATAATATGTACGTTTGCTCTGTGTCACAGTGCTTGTAAGTGTGTATGTGTATGTGTGAGTAAATACGTGACTGCATTTAAGTGCATAGTTGTGTTGCTCACACACACACACACACAAACAGACATTGGCGCATAAAATAGCATTCAACTTGCATGACATTTTCCAGCGAATTACTCTAAACTGCTGCATTTGATACGAAAGTAGCAAAAGCAGCTAAACAAACCCACCACAGCTCCAGCCAACACTCGCCATCAGCTGCTTTTATCAATTTAAATGAATTGCACACGAGTGTGTCATAAATTCATGCCACATGACACTTGCTAATGTTTTTTGCAAATAAGTTGCCATGGACGCTGCTTAATTAAATATAATAGTAAAGTTTCATACACACACACACACACATATATATATATACATATATATATATAGATATATACATAAAGTTGCTTGCCACATTGTATTGTAATTAAAATGTGTAGCGGCCGTTTTAGCAATTTTGCGGTGAAATTTCAATTTGAATTTTCACCCACGTCGCTCTCAAATTCATTAGTATTATTTGCTTAGCTATGCAGTGATGAAAAAACGAATATATTCTAGTTGACTACCACACAGAGTTGACCATAGAGGCAGCGGTTGGGGACATCAACTTGTGCGTTGGGATATGTTATATATGAAAAATAAAATAAAAAGAATAATATGCAAACAAAGAACAGCGTAAAAAAGCAGATAAAAATTACGAGTTTGCTCGAAAACTTTTCGACCAAATTGCCAAATTTAATATATTTACGCGTATAAGCATAAAAATGCTAAGAAAAAAAAAAACAAAAATACTAAAGTTCGTCGTGCGTGCAAACAAATAAATAATAAATTTTGATAAAGAAGAAGAAACAACAAGCAAACAGCGGAATCAGTCATCATCTTTTCCAGAATCTCAAGAAGCTCTTTATGCGTTTTGACCTCAACAGTCTTGAAGCAATTCATTACTTTGGCGGTCCATTTTGCATAAACTGTGGGGCATGTTGCGGCTAGTGGTTCTTGCTGACCTATAAATAATGTGGCAAATTTGCTGGCACAATAAATAAATTCCATTCACTATGCAAATGAATGAAGGAGCTTACACTTTTGTATACACACAATTAGGAACGATTGTAAGGCACAGCGGAAGCTGGCCAATTACAATGCCAAATGCTCTATAGAACAGCAGGCAATTCAATTTAGTGCAACTGAAACAAATCCGCTCATAAAGAGCAGGAAAAAGAATCACAAGCAGTGGTACTCTCATTCGTATTCTAATTGGGTAAATTGACAGCTTACAACCAAAATGCAAATGCGAAGAAATTAAAAGTGTATATCGATTTTAAACTTTAAAATAAAAACAGAATGGAGTATTCCGAATTCTGAATTTAATTTAACTCACTTTTGCCAAACTGAATTAATTTTAATGCGGTGGAGCACGTTTTTATATTTTTGTTTATATTTTGCAGCGATCCTTTTTTCAAAGCATAAAGTTTCTCATTAGAATTCACTTAATGTACAAATTATATACTTATAATATACTTATTTGAGATTGTCTATATTCGTGATTTACAGAATGCCTTGACTACATGGGACAGACAGTGCTTAATGAGAGAGCAGCACAAACAACTTACAATTCCCATGGCGGAAGACGGAAAAAGATGCTTGTTGGAAAAGACATTACATTAAAAGTAATTCATCATCGACTTGACGCGTGACATGTTGTTGTTGTTGTTGGAAAAACAAAGAGGCAAAAGCAAAAACAGCAACTACAGCAAATTGAATGTAATTTCATAAAAAGCGGGTGTTAATTTTTTGCTTTGCGACACAATAGCAACACAGGAGCAACACAACAGCAACATTACTACAATAGCAACAATACATACTCGTGGCTTAATGTGCTAATGCGCAGTGACATGAAAAATGATGGAGAACATGCAAGTTTTGCCCCGTCCTCGCTCAGTGGCAGGAGCAAACTAACCAACTTCGAGTAAAGAAAGAGCCAAGCAACCAGCTGCAAATTTGATACATATACAAATACATATAAATATATATAGACAGAGAGACAAGGAGGGCGGTGTGCTGTGTTGTGCTTGTTGCTATCGTTGTCACGGGTGTATAAAATAGCGCGCGGAGCACAACAACAGACAACGCATTGACAAGCGACAACAAAGCGGCCCAACAAAATAGGAAATAAGAAGCGGTAGAAAAGGGCTACGCTGCACCATCGAAGTAAGCAGAGCCAGCAGCATCATTTATCAGCGCATCAGGCCAGAGAACAACATCAACAACAACAAGCAAAACAACAGGCATATGTGTGTTAGTTGGTGATGCCATTGTGCTACCATTGCTGAAAGGAAACAGCGCGTTCATTCAAAAAACCATTAACACTAATACGCGACCAAGAACGCCAACACCAACACCAACATCAACATCGATGTGCCATTGTGTGCTGTAGTCGCGCTTGAAGACGCCAGCTAAGTAAAAGTACGCAGGAAGAGCAGTCGAGCAACGAGCAGAAAACTACAAGAGAGAAGAAAGTGAACCTGCCACAAATGATGCCGCCACGGCTGCTGCGCTTACGGCTACTGCGTGTGCCGCTGCATTCAATGGAACTGCGCATTCTGCTGCTCTGCTTGCCCACGCTGCTGCTGGCCACCACGCTGGAGCCAGGTGAGTGAGCACGGTATTTAATTAATACCGCTCGAACAATTTCAGCAAACGTTTAGATGCTGGCTAATAGCCAGTTTAAGTTGCCAGTTTTGAGTTTAGTGGCCTGACAATTGAATTTAAATGAGATTTTAAGCGGCGCCTCAAAGTAAGCGGCAGTTTATTTTATTATTTGCATAAAGAACGGAATGAACTGTTGTGCGAGCTGCTGCCACGCCCAACAATTAAACTCCTAATCCAAGGCAAACTCAACTTTGCCAATTTACGGATTTATTATTCTAGCCAATTTTATTTGGCCGACAGCGGCAGCGTTAAATTCCAACACTTTGGCGCTAAGCATGCACCTGCGGCTCAAACTTTAAAACTAAATATTTTCATTAATAGCTAAAGCGACAATTCACTCTACAAAGTCGTTCCATACTTCTTTGCTTGTCATTAAATTTTGAGCTTGCAGCGACTGAAGGCAGTTTCAGTTTTCAGTTTATAGGCAATCGTTTGGAGCAGGTTGATTTTTGGCCTAAGTTTTTGGCAGATAAGCATTTTAAAGATGTCGGCAGCAATTGCTTGGCAAACAATTATTAATTTTTCATTAAGCTCACTCAGGATTTTGGCGGCCTCAGTCCGCGGTTGTTTTTTTTTTTTGACCTCCTGCTAATTTGGTTTAAATGGACGACGGCGCCTAAAAGCATGCCGCACCCCAGCGCTATTTGTTTATTGGGTGTGGGTGTGGGTGTGAATGTGGGTGTGTGTGTGTGTGTGTGTGTGTGTGTGTAGGAGAACGTGTGTGTGTATGCAAGTCTCGCTACACGGCATCACGTATACGCATCGTTAGCCCCTGTAAGTTATGGCCAACACGTAACATTCACAAATAATAAGGATAATGAAAAATACACAGGGGAGAGATTAGCGTTAAGGGGCGCCTCACCATTTGTTTTTGTTGTTGTTGTTGTTGTTTTTATTTTTGCCGCGGCCGCGCTTCCTCTAGTGGTTGTTGTTGTTATTCTTACCGTCACTGTTACTTTTGCCCTTGTGGCTTTGGTTTTGACCTAAAAGCACCATGAGCCCCATTGCCTACTGCTCTTGCCTTTTGTTTTCCTTCTTCTTCTTCTTCTTGTTTTCGTTGGCGTTTTAGGCTTTTTTTTGGCTGGCCAAACGCGTTACGCATAAATTATTAAGGCAACAGCGGCAACGGCGACACCTTATCGGTTCGCGGGTCGCTCATTACGCAGCCTCCGGGCCCCCGCATCGAGATGGCGGAGTGTGGCAAGATCGCGTGACATCGCAAAAATTGAAAATTTATTGCCACGCCTTGTGGCTTAAAAATCTATGCTGAACCTAAAAAATAAACTTTTTTTTAAATAGACTTTTGAAGTGCGTTAGCCAAACAAATGAAAATGTGAAATATGCAAATAATTCACACTACAAGCACAGTGGAAAATGCGATATACAACTCGCAACTGACAGTTTTGCAGAAAGCAAGAAACTCCCCAGGATCATTCGGTTTGAGTTAAAAAACAAAAAAAAAAAAGTTAAAGCAGCATTTCCCATATATATATTGTGTATATGTTAGCTGGCGTCTGCCTAAGTTATGGCCAAAACACACAAAAAAAAAAAATTACTCAGCTTAGCACTTTCCGCTGACAGCCAGGCAACAACAGCAGCAGCTGACACACACGTGTCAGTATCTGTCGCCTACACCCACTGTTTTCCTTTCTCTTTCTCTTCATTCGAGTCACCCTCTTTCCCTGTCTGCTTGTGTCTCACATGGGGGGCGGGCGTCAAGGTCGTTGGGGCAGCTTTACACTCGCACAAGCACAACCACACACACACACACACACACACTTCGCAGACTTGCAGTCTTTCTTTTTCGTTCGCGCCTTTGACTTTGTTTACGCTCGCGCTCATGTTTCAAGTGCAAATGAGTTTTGCCTTTGGATGCTCCACTAATGCGCTGTAAAATTTCAGCTATTTTGCAAATTTTCTTAGTGGTTTTCATATTAAGCTCGAGGCATTTGTAACGCTAGATGCAGGATCTTTAGCTTACGGGGTTGAGCTCAGGTTAAGGCAGCTGGCAGCTGACAACTGGTTGGTGGCCCGGAGCAGGCAGCGCACCGGAAGGGACACAGCTTAAAAACTGCTAAGCACTTTGGCCACGCTGCCAGGGAGCGTTGACTTAAGCAGCTTTCAGGCTTAACTGGCAGCAGACAACGCCAGCATATTGGCAGGGCATTAAAATATTACGCATACGCCGTGAGGATATGTGAGAATAGAGCACTTGAGAGTAGGGCGGGAGGTGACAGTTAAGTAGTGGATGGTGTTCGATGTTCGGTGGTTGGGCGTTGGGGCAAGTCAAAGAAGACAGATAAATAATCATTTTGAAAAACATGACAAGTGCGCACAAGGAGCAGCACCAACAACTACAAAAACAACAATAACAATAACAAACAGAAACAGAAACGAGCGCTATCAACAGCCATGTGTCGTGCTCTGGGGCCATAGAACTTAAACGCTCGCAAGATTGACAAGAAATATTTATTATTAATAATAAACATGCAAGCCACGCCAGTCGCACTTGCTGACTTCATTATTTATCGCTTTTCAGTTACTCAGCCCAACAAACGTATATATACATATATATATATATATATATATGTATATATATAATACATATATTCCTCTCTTGTATGTAAGGGAAATGGAATGAATAACGAAAAGAGAACTGTGCTACTTCATAATTTGTATACCCTGTATCCAACAATTTGTTAGAAAAGAGTAACCTTAACAGACAAGTAATTTTAAAAATAAAAAGTATACAAAACAGCAAAAAATGTACTGCAGAATAATTTGTTAAGAGTGCTTCAGTGCTGGAAATAAAGTGATGTAGAAAATTAAATAATTGTTGATGAAACTAGCTTGCTTCCCTCTCAGAATTTAGCAAGCAAGTTTTTATAAAAGAAAAATTGAAATTTTGAGACATAAATAAATGAGAATGTCATGTTTGCCATTTTATGTTGAGTGTCAACTTTTTGTCAGTTAAATCTAATTTTCAGCCAGTTACAGGGCAACTTCTTGTCGAGTATTGCGCCCTTCTAACGATTTGTGCTGCTTTTGCCATTTTTGCAAGACATCCGGTTGCGGGCGGCCATTGGACGAAGGCGCTGCCGGTCGCCATTTCCATTGCTTTTTGCGCAAGTTTTATTACAGTTGCCTACTTTCAGGCATAATATAATTCACACGCCTAAGCCGCAGGCAGCTGACATGCGCACGTAGCAAGCAGTAGCCGCACCAGAAGCACCAGCAGTAGCACCAGCACCGAGAAAGCAGTGAAAGAAAGCGACTCGTTGAAATACGCGACTTTTAGCCATTTTATTAGCAGTGCGTGTTTTTTTACTATTATAGCGTTTGGCCCCACACATACCGACACTATTCCGATAGTATACTCATAGTGCGGCAGGCACTTGACCTTAGTCGCTGCTGTGGGGCTGGGCGTGCGTTGGCTTTTTTGTCCAAGTATTTGTGTTTGTGTCTGAGCATTTACATTCCTCTTAACATGCGCAATATATTTCGACTTGCGACTCTATGTATATGTGTGTGTTTAGCTGTTTGTGCCTCGGTTTGAGCTGTCATGCATACAAATGCAAAGATAAAGAATTTATACATCTTTTGGTTTTTTTGTGTGGCTCTTCAGCTAAATATTTGTTAGAATCAGCCATTTATCTTCTATATATATATATATATAAGTGTTTTTATTTCATTTTTTTGTTGACCACCAAAATCGACCTGACCCGTCATAAAGTCTCTGCCTTTGTCCCGCTTCTGCCATATTTTGTGTTATTAATGGCGCATTGTTATTGTCCGCAGACAATTTTAATGCCCTTACATACAAATAAATAAACAAATTTAAACTCAATGCAGCGTGACCAAAATCGCAAGGGAGAAACGAACACCAAAGAGACTTTGACGTCATAGCAAAACAGCGCGAACAAAGGACAATGCGCATGTACTCCGCAACTACGTAAACGAATACAAATTCAATAACAAATACAAGTGAACAGCCAAAAGTGCTCATATATATACAAAGACACATAGACACATGAGATTGGCTAAGGATGTGAGGAGAGGATGCCGAGTTTCGGCTATTGTATACGCATGCCTAAAGTATGAACTATAAAAATTTACGAGGCAATAAAAGTGCGAGCTCGCTACGCTGTGTTTTATAGTCTGAACGGCAGACACTAGGTAAAGACAGAGTCGGAAAAATGGGAGGGAAATGTTGCGCACGGCTTTGGATTTTTCATTCTCACACAACCAATTTGCCAAGCAGGTGAGCAGAATATGGGGGTTGGGCCGCAAGGCCGAACGAAGCTCTCATGCGTGGCTGTCTGTTTAAAAGTTTTTCGTGCAATACGCACTGCTGATTGATAGATTGATTGATTAAATTCCTTTTTACAACACGGCTCTATGTTTATATTACGCTAGCCCAATCTCAGTTTAATAAACAGCCGGCTGCTTGCCTACCTAACTTAGTTACTCATATTCCAGCTGCTTGAGCACGCAACCCATTAAAAAATACTACATCAAGTAAAGGACTTAACTCGGAAGCAACGTGGCGGAAATTTAATTTGGCTACAAGTTACCCATTCAGGTTGCCTAGGCGATCAAACTTTCCTAATTAGACCTAAGAATTGTAGTTGCAGTTGCCTGATTTAAATTAGCCTGCGGCGTATACTTCATAAATTGCATACTAATCAGCAGTAAATAAGTTGCCCATTGGCCAGTAGCCGAATAGGAGGCACCTCGCAAATACCTGATACTCACAATGCTTGTATTTAAATTAGCTTCAATTGTGTGTAAGCAGTATATATCGATTCCTGGTTGGAAGCGTTCAAGTTGTTATTGCCATACTTTTACTAATTACAAAATATTATGTATAATAACACTAATGTAGGGGATTAGTAGGCAAAAGGTAAATTGGATATGAGGCATAGAAAATATTAAAAGAAAAAGGGCAGCGATACTTCCTACTTTAATTTGATGTTAATGTATGACTTGGTAAATATTAAATGTCAATGGCCCAATGATGTATCTATATATTTCATAATAGCATAATAATAATGTCAATGCTACCAATTGTTCAACAACGTAGCCAAGCAGTACGAGAATAAGCTATTTACTACACCATTCATAGGGTGGGTGAGTCTCGTCATCTTTTAATCCTCTTAACAATGTCAAGGCCCTTTGAAGACTTTGTTTTTGTCTTAAGTAATTTATTTATGCATCGTAATATGATTAATCTGCTACTCTTTTGAACCGTGCGTCAAAGTTCATCAACTTATTAAATCGTAGAGCTTATTCAAATAGCAGATCACTGGAACACATTGAATTATGTTAATATAATTGCACAAATTAGACTTATTACATACCATATTTGTTAGGCACTGCATGGAATGTCGGTTCCAGAAAAACATCCTCTGAATCTCTCTTTAGTTTATTGTACTTTGTATTGAACAAACCAAAATAATGATGTTGCAGGTGATCACTACGAGGCGCACTTGAAAGAAAATCGAAAAATGTGGAATGAATTTCGATTGTTAACTTCTTTATTTTTAACTTATAATTTGTGCCCCAGAAACATGCCTGATATAGTATAATATAATATAAGCACATTGCGTGCTCCAAAAATAAACACAAATTATACAAGGACAATAAAAATCAGTTTGTCTTCTGTCATTTTGTTATTGTGTTTGGTATTTTTGGAGCATGTGAGAAGGCGACAAGCGAGAAGCGAAGAAGGGAAATCAATAAATGCCATGTAGTGCCAATAATCGTAAATAACACGCTGAGCTTTCGTATGTCAATCAATTGCTTTATTATTTCAACAGTTGTAACTGAATTTGTCGGCAAATAGCAGCAGGTAGAAGGATTGCAAGTTAGTGATTTCGATAATATTACATCTTTTATCTTTCAATTTGCAGTGCGACCTAAAAAGTTACATATTTGGGGCGCATTTACTGATTGCAATCCCAACAGCAATCACAAACTCAAATTGAAAACTGGCAACTCGAACTGTAGCTAAAGTGTAGCCCAAGTGACCTTTAACGCAATTAAGGTGATTGCACCTTTGACCTGGCAACTAGCTTATTTGTCAGTCAATTGTCTAACGCTTTTTCCTTAATATATATACACACATACATATACATATATATATATATATATATATATTATTGATTGCAGATCAAAAGTCAATACTCACAGATAACGATTGGAAGAAGCTATGGATGCGCGGCGGTATAAGTGCCGACTCAAAATTGGATAATAATCTCGACTCCAGTGACAGCCCCATGTTCGAGGACAGCGAGGTAGGTGGATCAAAAGCCCAAGTGATTGCTCAAACTGCGACATTGATGAAGTGCTACGAAAGTGTGTTTTAAAATCGAATTGAATTGACTTCAAAAGGTGTTGCTGGTGCTGCTTATGCAGTTGTTCTTGCAACAAGTGCCGCAAGTGGCACTTGTGTCCATGTCAAGGGTTCTTCGGCAGGACTAGGAGCCTTGACATATTCTCTTGATCAATATGTTCATACGAAACACATTCAAATTGTTTTGACCAGTGTAATGCTAATTACCATACAACATGAAGACGCCCCATGTCTGATTAATCTTTAGTGCTTATTTATATTTCATTCATTCTCGCAACGAATCTAATTATCCAAAAAGGCCACGCCACAACTGCCCTTAACTACTTAGACACTGCTCAGATCCAGTATATATATATATATATATATATATATATATATTCATTTACATACATTTACAAGTATATATAATAAATGGAGCTTTGTCTGCCGTTCGCTGTATTCTGCTGACTAATAGCGCGACGTGGCTCGCAGTTTGTGTGGTTATTTGTTGCCCTTTGCTTTCTCTTTATACCTTTCTACCTTTGCATACCTTCCACATAAAAAATGAACTTTTAACTTTTTGTCTTGTGTTTTTCTCTCTCTCTTTCTCTTCCACATTTCCTTACTTCTCTCTCATACAGCTGATGGCGCATAATACGACCGTTCAGCTGGGTGGCACTGCCTTCCTGGTCTGCAAGGTTACCGGCGTGGACAGAGTGGGTGTAAATTGGGTTTGTTTTTGACTCTCTAATTGTGCCGCCTCTTGTACAAGGCCATCCCACTTTCTAGCACAAAAAACAATATGTATATTTATCGTACTGTAGTTGTATGCATGCTACAATAGCCGCATTTTAGTGGATTTGACCGCATCGCTGAAAGCGTTTCAGAACTGAATTTTATATTCTTTTGTAATTTGAGGTGCAAATTTTTTGTATAAATTTCGGTTTTTGAATTATATGACATTTATCTAGTACTTTTGCTTTTTTCTGTCTTTCCTGTTTATTTAAATTTCATTTCGTTCGTGAAATTGGGCACGCAAAAGACCAATTTGTTTGGCAGTTGAGCACGAAATACAAATATGAGCTTAATTTGCAGCTGAAAGCCAGCAAACGTTTGACATGACATTGTGTACACTTTGTTTGCCATTCAACGTTTGCTAACAAGCAATTAAATGGCTAAATGCGACACGCAATAGACGACCCCATTATTTGAGCAAGTATGTGCCAAAACATTAATTAATCAGAGCCAGAGCAAAATATTTATTATTAGACACTCAAGTATTGACACGTAAGCTAAAAGAAAAACGTTCATACCGTCGATGAAAAGTGATAAAATAAATTTTAATCATGCACAATTTGTACGCGTATTTTGGACAAATGTTATGCAATGGCTTAAATATGATTAAGTATAAATATGTCAGTTGTTATGCACTTCAACGTTGCTCAAATTTCACTAACTTTTTGTTATTTCAAATTTCTGCATTTATTTTATTTAAGTAATTGCATTTACCCATTTGGGAACAAATAACATTATTATTGTTTATAACTGGCGGAAGTAGGGATAAAGCTCAATCGCTTTTGTTGTCGTTGGACTGCCAAAGCACACACACATATAAGTCAATATTATAGTTGCGTGTTTTCCTTACGAGCTTTGACCGCATATTTCCCTCAGTTGCGGGTCGAATAATTTAGAACTGACGTTCATGAGAAAGTTATAGTTAAAGTTTTCGCATTTTAAATTGGATTTAAATAAAAATAAATAAATTACTGAGATCAATCCAATAGATCTCAGGAGTCCACTGAATAATAAATAATAAATTTCCATACAAATATCTTCCTTAATCACTTCTTAAACTTTTTTGGTATTTTGCATTTGAGTCGCATTAAAATGTAATTAAAAGAGCAACCTGTTGTGGACTTCACAACGAGGCGCATTAAAAACAGCTTGTCACAAGTTTTAATTTATTTTCACATACACCCACATCCACAAAAATAACCCATTTGATGTGATTTTTTTTAATCACATTTATATGTTATATAATCACAGCCAGATGTGGCACTAATTGCATGCACATGTACCGTAACGGAATTTTCAACTTTATATGGCCTAGTTTTAAGCGTTTATCCAAAAACATTTCTTTGCACCGCCTTTGGCATTTGATCCGAACTCAGTTCAGTCGTTAATATGATTGTGTTTAATATATATTTTTGTGACGCAGAATCAAATATCTTGGATACGGCGCCGGGACTGGCATATATTATCCTCGGGCGCCCAACTCTATACAAATGATGAGCGCTTTGCGATACTCCACACGCCCGGCTCCAATATGTGGACGCTACAGATAAAGTTTGTGCAGCGCCGGGATCACGGCATGTACGAGTGCCAGGTGAGTGAGCGTCAGCAAAAAAAAAGAAATTCATATATTTATCCATATATATATATATATATATAAATGGATATTCTATATTTTATGCATGCAATGCAGTTGAAATGAACTAAAGTAGATTTGCATATGCACCATTTTACAGAGAACGAGCGCAAATACGCAATATTGAGGTTTTCGGGTTTATTTTTTATTTTTTCGCCTCGTGTTTCGCTTATGGCTTGGTTCACGCTGAGTTCCACATCACTGTCGATTTTTACACGGCACATGATTTAATTGTAGTATGCAAATAGGGTATTTTATATGCAAACAGCTTCGATTTAAAGCAACCTGCTGGTCTTCTGCGCATCCGCATTTGCATTGGCATCCAGATGCACATCCGCAACCGCATCTGAATCCGCATGTTCCTGACGTTGACAGGCTCGCTGCCTGGCACTGCCGAAAGCATGTGACTGTCAGGCGCAGACGCTGCGGATGCCAGATAAACTGGACATTGACAAATTTAGCCAGTGACTTGCACACACGCCCCGGATCATGTAGTGTCCTGATGTGTATGTGTGTGTCTGTGTGTGGTGTGTGTGTGTGTGTGTGTGTACTGACATGCATTCAAAGTAATGCAAAAGTAAGCCAGCAGACAAAGCCGAAAGTCATGCGGATATGGTTAAAGGCATCTTTTTTAACCACAAAAAGAATGGAGAGGTTGTATAAAATAGAGCATGCGCACACATACACGCACACACTCAGCAATGGGGAAGTAGGAAACAACTAACCGAAAAGCAACAAAGTTTGGCAACGTCTGAAATGGACACTTGACAGTAACTCTGTGCAGCAACCGTACAAGTGGTGCTCCCAGACTTGCAGTTGCAAGGGCGTAGCGGGGCGGTCGGGTCACGAGGCGGAGCCGGCAGCTTCAAAAACGTATCTTCAATTTCAAAATTGTTTGCATGCAATTTCAATAAGAGCGAAAGACAATCCACATGCCAGAACTACTCCTAACACAAAAACTATCTGCCAACCGGGCCGGTCGAGCTAGTCTGTCAGACGGGGCAGCCAGCTCAGCTGAGCGCTACGAGTCCTGCATGCAAATATGCCGAAATGATTATTTTTCCTTTTTGCATGGCAGTGCAATTGGTGCCCGGACTGAGCTGAGCCACCATCATGCCTGCCAGCCGGTTGTTTTTTTTTTTTTCGGTGTGCAACGTGTAGGAAGCGCCAGCACTTTTCCACTTATATATAAAATACTCATTTTTGTTTCATTTTGCGTGCCAAATTGAAATTGTTTGATTTGCATTTCAATGAGTGCAACATTTCTTGCAGTCAAAACGTTTCACTGGTCCAGTAGCGGGTGGGTTGCTAAGGAAGGGGGCAAGGGTAAGGAAGGGTAAGCAGTTGTATAAACTTAATGCTAACACTGACTGGCCATTGCTCAGAGTTCACTGATGTATTAACGTTCTAGTTGATTACGTATACGAATCAAACTTAAACTTGCACTCTCCTTCGTACTCGTACTCGTCCTCAATTGTTGACTTCGCTTGGTTTATCGCACAGGTCTCAACACCGACTGGTATCATCTCGCACTTTGTGAATCTTCAAGTGGTTGTGCCGGAGGCATTCATTCTTGGCTCCGGTGAACTGCATGTCGACATGGGCTCAACCATCAATTTGGTTTGCATTATTGAGAAGGTAAGAACAAGTATCTCCAAAAATGGGTTAAGTTAATAAATAGAAAATAAGTCACTCAAACAACGATTACACAATTGATTATTTTATTATCAGATTGCTTTCTATTTAAAATAATAACGTATTCAATATTGATGGCTTGTCTAATGCCACTAAAATTATCTAAAAGTTGACATTTAAAATTAGGAATCATACATCAATTATCTGCAGTATCTTAATTAAAGAGCAATATTTCGGAATGAATAAACATTAATAATATGATCAAGTGTTGTAATTTTCCACCAATAAGCAATCACACTGTGTATGCTTAATATTAAATTGTAATTCTCTTTGTGAACAGAGTCCAACACCACCGCAGTACGTGTACTGGCAGAAAAATGAACGTCTCATTAACTACTATGACTCCAGGCGGGACATATCCATTGAGACGACACCGGGGCCGCGCACGCAGAGCCGTCTCATCATACGGGAGCCCCAAATCACAGACTCTGGCAACTACACCTGCTCCGCCAGCAACACCGAGCCAGCTAGCATTTATGTATTTGTATCTAAAGGTGAGAATCGCAGATGAGCACTGGCTAAGCCAAACCGGGGGGGAGATTAACCAGCTGCTGTCGCAGAGAATGCAGATGCTCATTTTAAGCATTGCATTAGAGCGCAAATTGCTAAGAGTGGGTCGAGGGAAACTCGGTTGTTTAGGGTTTGCAGTGCTTGTTGCACGTTACAGTTGCATGCAATTTGCATGGCTGCCTCGCGGCCAAATTGAATTTCTTTAGCATGATTTTAGCATTCAAATAGCCATCACGATAAGAAGTGTAAATGAAAATATGCAAATTACGCGCCCGCCTGCAGCTTATTAAAATGTTAATGAAAATGCAGCGTATCTGTCGCCAGTAATTCTATACAAATTCTAATTCAAATTTATACCATGTCCCTTTATCTCTCTCTCTCTCTCTCTCTCTCTCGCTCTCGCTCTCTCCTTCTCCCCCCTCTGTCACTTGCAGGCGACAATATGGCTGCCATCTCACGGCGCAAGACCTCCTCGGCCGATCGCATCACGCACATATTTAGGTCGATGCTGGCGCCCTGTTTGCTGCTGAATACGGTTGTCGTTAGGTAAGTATCTACATCTAAATATATCCCTTCAGTGTCGGTACACACTACCTACATTTCCAACTGTTACTCAACATAAATTGGTTTTTTTTGTTAATTTCCTGCTACAGACGCATTTTCTTGACCTAAGAACCTACAATACGACACAATAACTGAATTACAGCGCAAACACAAAATGGAATATATAGTAAAGTATGAGAATCCTATTTAAGCTATTTCAATGTTAGAATTTAACAACACAAAAACCAAAAGATACATAAATACTTATAAATAACGAAGACAAATTTACATAAATAAAATATATAACAATAGAAACACACGCACACACACACACACCTAGAGTAATTCTTAAGCTAAGTCCCATAGCAACTGTGTAAAAATCATGTTTAAACCCAAAAGCACACAAAAATCCACTGTGTGCGAATATTTATATATACATATAAATAAATAAATATTTATTTATTTGTATGCATGTGTGTGTGTGTGTGTATGTGTGTGTGTGTGCTTGTGTATGCAAGGCATTTACAACAACAGCAAGACACAGTTTAGATACTCGTTAGTCTCGTAAGTTTAGTTGGAAATCATTTTACATAATTGTGTACAGTATGTTAAACAAGTTTTTTATCACTTATGTGTATGTAATTAAATATTAAATGAATCGGTTAAAGTAATTGTAAAAGTTCAATTTGATTTGAATTGTTTTGTGTGTACTATTTACTTGTAACGTGAGTTTATTGTTAATACTTTTGCCTTGCCAAATCAATCATTGGCCGATCTGTGCATCAAAGCTAATCACAATTTAATTTCGTTATGTTTCTGGTCTGCAGCAGATAAAATCTGCATGGATCCAACTTTAGACCTATACATATATGCATATGCAAATTTCATACATACATATTTATATTATAACGAACAAAAATAATATAAAAAGTTTTGCATAAGTAGCCAATTTCAGTCCATAAAAAAGAGTTGAAAACACACATACCAAACGTTATTATAACTGTTACTAATTACTAATTAAAAACCAAGGCATAGAAAAAAAACCATTGAAAGAAAGACCCAGCAACAACAAGAACAACAAGAATTATCATAATTAATTGAATTATTATGTTTGTAAATAAAACAAATTGTATTGCAAATGGCATCACAAACACGTCAAAACAGAAAAAACACAAAAAATATTTAATTGTAAGTGTAAATAAAAGAGGAAAATACATAAATAAAAAGAACAAGAGAACAAAAACAACACACAAATGACTGAATTAAAAAATAAAGCGGCATTGTTGTAATCTTTGAAGCAGTATGAGCAGGAGCTACGCATATGTGTGCATGTATGAGTGTAAGTATCTGGGTGGAGGGCAACATCTGTCCGAGTCGTAACTGTAATTAATTGCACAACAAAAGAGTTGCAGCAACAACTGATGTGTCAAGAACAGACCCGAACCGAATGCCGGTTGCAAACAGACAACTTATCCACAGCTCCAATCAATATAAAGTGTAAGTGTGAGAGAAAACAGCCAAATCAGAATAAATCAAACTATTAAAGCTTAACAGGCTTACTTTAGATGTTGCTGCTTCTACTAAATATAAATTAAATAGAACATAAAAAAAAAGTTTCAAGTTAGATGCATTACAAATTCATACAAATTCCTTATGCCTACTTTGATACCAGTAACTATGGCAGAAATCGAAGAGCAATCCGAAAATATATTAAATTTAAAGATTTGCCATGTTATTTGCCATACAATTCCATGCAGCATGTAGTATAGAGCATGCTCATAAGTGACATTTTTTCCAATTGCCTTGTATGCTTTCTAATTGAAAAAGAGGATACAAAACACCTGAAACAATTACGTAATCAAATATGTACAATTTTCTTGACTGTTTTTTCGCAGAATACTAAAACCAAAACCAAAACAAAACAAAAAACACAATTTCAAAAATTATGTAAGCATATTTGTGTGTTGTACAATCTAAGCAAAAAGTTCATTACATTAAATAAAAAATGAAAATACATACATTAAAAAATAAATCATAGCAAAGAATAATATAATATAATAAGCAACTGTTAAGTATTTCATGAAATTTGAATAGATTCATTAGTGTGGAAAAGCATAATGCAAAACTTAATATTATAATAATATTAACAATAAAAAATGTGCGAGAACAAAGCCGAAATCATTGCGAAATGCGAAAAATGAATACCGTATAAATACGTGTATATGTGTATGCCTAAACCCCAATTTAAAGCCAGCACCACTGATTTTATTTTATATTGAAAACAAAACAAAAATATAATAATGTCGTTTGGTTTCCATTGTTATGCATTTTCCACTGTAAATATTTTAATTAAACCATATGGTATGGTTGATAATAGCCATTTACTAATTAATGGAATACATGCAAATGACATAAAGCCAGAAATTAATATAAGTATGTACTGTATTCGGTAAAAAAAAATTAAGTAAATGGTAAAAAACAAACGAAAAACATGCGAAAAAATCATTTAAAAAGTTTTCAATGTAAATGCTCGATGGGTATTAATGTAAAATTTAAACTTCGCAACCATTTGATGAATATGAATTTAAAAAAATAAAAATAATATAATTAACACTTTGTTCTTGCCCGTGGGTCAGACAGTAAAAAGAAACAAATAGCCATGCAATGACTGCATTGATACCAATAAGAAATACATTGAAATAAAAAAACAAGTGATTATCATCAGAAATAAATGTAATTTAAATAATAACTACAAACATAAAAGAGCTTCTTTCCTTAACGATCGGGGCTGGTGGCGGGGCTGTCTAAAAGTAGGCTGCTATGTCTACAACTTTTTACCAATGCCAATCAATCAGCCAGCGGCAATCAAATTGTTGGCTATTGTGCCACATCTTGCGCTATAATTGGACTCCATTGTTGGCATAACTCAACCACACAGACACACACACAGCGAGTCACACACAATCTTATAGCATTTTTCAGCACCGCGTAAATTATATTTCGACATTCTTTGTAAGCCTTGGCAGTTGGCTGTTGGCAGTTTGCAGTTTGCTTTCTGTCAACATTTTATTGAACGCGCCGCCGTTCATTTTGGCAGCAAACATGTTGCACTTAAGCACACACACTCCAACATACACACAAACATCCAATTCGCAGTTCTTAAAGGCACAAACTTTGGCTGAGCGTACAAAATCAAATGCATTGAACGCCAACGCCAGAACCGAGAGCCAAAACTTTTGTGGCCACCAAAGTTTTGGGCAAATCAAATGAACCTAGAGTAAATTTTCCATGCACAAGTGCCAGACGGCGGCAGAACAGCAGCAGCAGCAGCAGCAGCAACAGCAACAGCAACAGCAGCTGGCAAAGACGGAAAGAGCGTTAAAGTAAAACATTGAACTGCAAAAGTAATGAAGAAATTTCAACAAGAATTACAAACACACATACAAAGTTACACACAGCAGTGGGTCTGGGGATTGGACATAGACCGGCCTCCTTTCTGGCAGAACTTAATACTCTTTCAAAAAGTATTTTTAATTGTCTTTTAAACTTCATAAAGATGCTCCCTCCCTATAGCAAATTTAAATATATTTTGTTAAACTGTGTTATTTAGTTTCTTTTATAATATAAAATAAATTTCAATATTATCGATATTTTGCCAAGTATTGATTCATTGAAGGACACAAATATACTATAAGTGTATTAAGTCTTCGGCAATCCGAAGATATTTCCAAAAACCTTGAATTTCTCGTTTTCTATTTTTACACAAACAGGCCAAATGGGCGAAATTGGCTGTTGACAGCCTCGAGTTGAGTGTGTTGAAATACTTCGGCATTTGTAAGATTGAAAACTTTACTATTTTCTATTTTCGATTTGCTTTTTTGATTAAAAACTTTTCGCACGTTAACTTTAATATGAACACCCAAAAGCTGACAAATAAACGCTGACTAATTTTAGCCAACACATGAAATGAATATTTTCGCATAAAGCTAAACTGAAGCACATTTAATAGCTGTTAATAACTGAGCTGAAATTTATGTTAAAAATTGTATATAATCAAATTTTCTAGAGCATTAACTTTAATGATATCACATTGCGGCTGGCTGCAGAAATTATTATCCCATTTGCAACTTTAGAAAAAACGCCATTTTTATTTTAGTCTGTTGCGGTTATTTGCTTAAACACTTTTGTCATCACTGACAATGTTGGAAAATGACTTAATTGCCTTTGAAAGGTAGGCGGGTTTTATTATTATTATGTTACAGTATGTAAGTTATAGTATAAGTATATAGGTAAAGAAAATCTCATGATGAAAGTGAATTATAGCAAAAGCTAGACACTTTTAGAACTGAATTGCCAGTACAACATTTTCAAAGAAAAACTCAATTGACAATGGTAAATAGAATAAATATTCATTTTCATTTATTAAATAATAGATGTTGTGCGTGAGCTGCGTTTCAAAACAATTTTCTTTACGCTTAATTAATATCTGAAGGGTTATAAGTATACTTTGATTAGTACAATCTGTCGACGTTGCCTGTAAATAAAACTGCCTACTGGCCTTAAACTCTGGCACTTTTGAGGAGGCAGATCTATTGGCCTTCAGCCAAGACAGCCAAGCTCAACTGTCTGAAAGGCTAGCTTACTTTGAGCACTAATCTATCGAAGAGTTCAATCAAGCTTATAGAACCAAAAAACGTACATTATTCTTGAATGTCAGACGCCAAATCGTAACATTCAATTTCCATTGTCTACATTGCCTACAGTGCTGGGCCGCATCAATCAAAGTTAAAACGACAAAAGTGCATCCAATAAATTTCAAATAACTTGCAATAACTGTAATCAGCACATGGGGCGCGGGTATGCAAGCGCGGTGAAAGCGCTGCGAGAAAACAAACAGTATGTAAAACAATCACTCAAATGGCACACATTGCGCATACGCTTCGTGGACTCCCACACAAACGCACAGCGTGCCGCTTTGGCGGGCAACTGTGAATGCTCAAGTGAGCTGAAGGCGGCATTAAGCTGTCGCTGTCATGTGCTTTGCTGCCAGAAATTATTGTGCATTTGTGGAAATCTATGCCACGTGGGCGTGTCATTCCACCGTGCTGCACACATTTTCTGTAATTGATTGGAAAACATTGCGTCGCCCCGTCCCCGTACGTCATCCTATTTGCCACTCTCCACCACCAATGCAGGCCGCAGCAATTGTTTAAAAGCATTTTTTGCCAGTAATATTCTACAATGTACTGTTATGTGGCAAAGTTTTCGTAGCAGAAAAATGCG